TAGATCAAGGGAAGTAATAATGCCACTGTATTCTGCTTTGGTCAAGCCGTACCTGGAATACTGTGTCCAGTTCTGGGCACCACAAATCAAAAAGGATGTTGAAAAACTGGAGCATGTCCAGAGGAGGGTGACTAAAATGGTGAAGGGTCTGGAAACCATGCCGTATGAGGAACGACTTGGGGAAATGGGTATGTTTAGCCTGGAGAAGAGACGGCTAAGATGGGATATGATAGCACGGTTTAAATATTTGAAGGGATGTCATATTGAGGAGGGAACAAGCTTGTTTTCTGCTGCTCCAGAGACTAGGACCCGAAACAATGGATGCAAGCTGCAAGAAAAGAGATTCCACCTCAGCATTAGGAGGAACTTCCTGACAGTAAGGGCAGTTCGACAGTGGAACACACTCCCTCGGAGAGTAGTGGAGTCTCCTTCTTTGGAGGTATTTAAACAGAGGCTGGATGGCCATCTGTCAGGGATGGTTTGATTTTGAGTTCCTGCATGGCAGGGGGTTGGACTGGATAGCCCTTGTGGTCTCTTCCAACTCTATGATTCTATGATTCTATTAAGGTGGAAGAACACATAATCTAGGAGATGCTGCAGTAGTTTGCTTTTGCCTGAGCCTACAAGGAAGGGTAAGATTCCACCACCACTCTCCTCTCCTTTCCTCCTGCTGAGATAAACTATTAGGGGTTGCAGACTGCCAAAAATAGTGCAAATAGTGAAAATTGAATCCACTTTAAGGGTTAGGGTTAGTGCTAGGGAATCATGGGAATTGTTGTTGTCTTTCTAAGACATTGTGCCTTCTCTGTCAGAGAGCTCTGGTGCCACAATAAACAACAGTTCCCATGATTCCCTAACCCTAACCCTAACAGTGGACTCAATTTGCACTATTTCTGGCAGTCTGCAACCCTCCTACTTTTGCAGTTTGAAATCATTTTGAAGCAATGGAAGTAAGCTGAAGATCAGAGGAAATGTTAGGAGGAGAAGTAACTGGGGCATTTTAAATGCACCTGGAAAAGTGGAACAACAGAACATTAATTGAAACTGTCCCTTCCAAATTGGGACAGTTGGAGAGTATGTGTAGTGTGAGGATATTTGTGTTACCAGCAAAAGGTGTGGGAATGGCCAATATTAATAATATAATTGTCACTATTAAGAGGGCATTTAATTTTCCTATGTCCTGACAATTTACAGTCCCACCTACAATCATGGGTACTGTACAGATACCTGAAATTCTGGATAACATTCTATGCATCTGAGGAAGTAGGCTATAGTCTATGAAAGTATGTGCTATAATAAATTTAGTAGTCTTTAAAGACATACATGATTCCTTTTTTTTTTTTTTACAAGAAAGCAAGAATATGTGGGAAAGGATATATGACATGGAAAGGGGGGGGAGAGACGGGGATGTTTGCAGCTCAGAAGTCTCTCTTCAGTTGTCATGTTTGTCTGTTTGCTGCACTTTTATATTGCTTTTGCCAAAACCAGGCCTGAGGCAGGATAGCAGTATGGGCCTTTTTGCTAGAGGATAAAATCACCTCCTCAGAAGCAAATAAAATGGAGTCAAATACTGGCATATCAAGACTTTATTTCCTTTTGCCTTTTGCACTTTGGGGAGTAATCCTTCAAATGGCTTAGAAAGAGAATCCCAAAGAAAGCTACCTTAAGAGTATTATTTTTATTTAATTAACAATTGGTTGGGAGCTATTTGGCTCTTAGAATCCTCTAAGAGATATTTGTTCTCCCTGTTTTACGTTCCTTAATTCTCAAAATCTGATTTCACGCTTTGTAAAAGGGTGTTTTGATAAAATGCTGACAGAATCACAACTACAGAGCTGAGTGTGGAAAATCCCGTAATTTTGTAGCATCAACTGGTTTGCAAATATATCAGAATTGTTACTGACGGTGCTGCCCCCATGCTCTGCAAAACCAGCATTGCAAGGAGCCTGAAATTCCAGGAGAAAGCCTCACAGGTTGATTTTTTGTTTCTCAGTTATGGAAATTTAGCAAAGGGGAGGGAGGCATTTCTTCACATCTGCTTGATAATAAAGAGAAGCTATATGTGGGTATCTCCATTTCAATTCTTTTATGCAAATGCCATATTTAAGTTCACAAACTGATAATCATGCATCTGAGACAGTGGGCTTAAGTCTGTGAAAGCTTATGCTCCCAAGTTCTTTCTTTCTCCTAGTTAATATAAAAGATTCAACAAGATCACTTTGCAAATAGAAAAACAGTCTCTGACCAGCAATTCACTGGAACAGTTCACCATTCCCAAAGTCCAGTAGATGCTTTACCATGTGTTTTAACAATGCATACAAAACAGGTTATGAAAAGTGGAACTCATCAGGACGCAGTTATTTCAGGATATTAGAATCACAACTGGGGGGGGGGACTTCTTTTGCAGAAACATATCACCTTACTATATATTCATCTCTCAGCGATGTGGGCAATCGAATACCAGCCCTTACAAGACAATGGACCATAATTAATGTAATAAAATACATCTGCTCGTTGTTGTTGTTGTGTGCCTTCAAGTAGTTTCCAACTTATGAAGACTGATCTAAGGTGAAACTATCATGGGGTTTTCTTAGCAAGTTTCTTCAAAGGGATTTTGCCATTGCCATTCATTGAGTCTGAGAGACTGTGACTTGCCCAAGTTCACCCAGCAGGTTTCCATGGCTGGTCTGGGATTCAAACCCTACTCTCCAAAGTCATAGTCCAACACTCAAGCCACTACACCACTCTGGCTCCTACACTTCTCTAAGTATTTGATAGTATTAATGTCAGTTATTCTTATTGTTTAGATTAGAAAGTAATATAATTTATTCTTCACATAAATATGAGACACTCAGTAATTTGATAGTTGAGTCATGGCAACACTGTGTAACTATATATCTATACTCACTATACCCTCCAGCTATCCCAATTTGTCAGGAGCAGTCCCAAATTAATCCTCTTCTGTCCCATTTTTCATCTCCTTTTAAAATGGCCTAGTTTCTGTCTTCTCCTCCCACTTGTTCCCTTCATGACTTACTTCAATTACTGAGTTCAAAGTATAAACTTAATTTGCACTCAGTTAATTCAGCAGTGAGGAAAGGAGGAGGAGGAATCTTGCCCTTTCCTATAAACTCAGTCAGAAGCAAACTGTTGCAGCATCTCCTAACTTGTCTTTTCTTCCCCATTAATAATTTTTGCCATTTTGCTCATCCTCTAATGTTGTGTCTCTGTTTTCATTACTGAAATGCTGGAGTGTATAGCACTCGCTAGTTTGTTGTTGTGTGCCTTCAAGTAATTTCCAACTTATGGGGACATATCATGGGGTTTTCTTGGCAAGATTTGTTCAGAGGAGGTTTGGCATTACCTTCCCCTGAGGCTGAGAGCATGTGACTTGCCCAGAGTCACATAGCAGGTTTCATGGCCAAGTGCGGAATGAACCCTAGTCACCAGAGCTGCAGTCCAACTCTGCACCTGCTGACTTTAACTTTTGTTCTAATTTATATTTAAGATAAAATTCTCTCAGTGCAGATATTTGGTGCACCCGAGCTTGGACATTTATGTTTAAGAAAAAAAAGAATGGAATGACATATAATAACTAAGTTGAGTGGCAGGATGATTCTTGGGACACAAAGCATCATCTTCTCAGCTGCTCAACTATAGATAGTTTCAGCAGATCATTATATTCACTTTTCTTAAAAGTCATTTTGGAGCTCTGCATTCAGTGGAAACTGCCACCCTCATTATAATCTAATTCTCTATGCCTTTGATGGCTTCATAATAAGGAGAAATCAGCAGGCCACATGGAGATGCAATGATGGGGAAATGCCACCCATTTATTTCTGCCCTTTACAAAGCTATTAAATGGGTAGAGCCTCTGTTCTCCACACATACACATGGGCACATCTTAAGGGCTTCATAAAGCTTGCCAATACACTTCTGGTCTGAATATAAGGTTCTTGTGATGACATTTAGGCCCTTAAATGGCATGGGATCACAACACTTGAAGGAGTATCTCTCCTTATATGTGCCTACCTGAAGAATGAGGTCAGAGGGGGCAACCCTTCTCTGTGTCCCATTAGTGAGGTCAATACAATGGGCAAAGATGTGGGGAAAGGGCCTTCTCAGCCATGGCAACCCCATTGGGGAATGACCCTCTCAGACCCAATTGGTGCCAGCACTTGTTTCAATTAGCTGCCATATAAAAACATAACTTTTTATTAAAGCCTTTGGGCCTCACTGGTTTATCTCAAAATGCTAATGCATGTGGTTTTA